GACAATTACAAAATGCAAAAAGAGGGAAGTTGCATGAAGTTATGAATTTGTGACTAACAAAAGCAATTAATAAAAATAAAAAAAACTGCCTCACCTTCTTTTTTCATATTTACCGAGATACATTTCTTGAACCTAAAATTTTAATTATTATTATAGATTATTATAAATTATTATGAAGTATTATGAATTATTATAAATTATTATAAAGTATTATGAATTATTGTAAAAATTAATCAAAATTATTAGTTTTACGAAATATCAAACAAGAAACATCAAACTCAAATTTTTACTTTTTAATTGAATTTGATAAAAATGGAAAATACAACTTTTTAATTTATTTTAATTTTCCAACGAGTACCCTCAGAGTCAGGCGAATAAAGAGGTGGTTTTAAAGTAAACTGTTTCTCATTTTGTTCAATTTCATTCACAAAATAAAAACATTTTTTTACTCTTTTCGGCAGTTAGGTTTTGAACAAAATATATTTTTTAAAAATGGCGCTTTCTCTCTTTTATCGAGCTTGAAATAAGTTTGCATAAACAAAGAAAAAAGAAGGCAAAAATAGCTTTTAATATTGAAAACACTTTCAACAGTTTATCGATAATATTTCCATTTATCAACTTTTTATTAATTTTAAATATTTAAAGAAAAATTTACTTTCTCATCTAAATTTCTAAAATTGGATTTGAGAATTTCTATAGACAAAAAAACTAAAAGTTCAATCTCCCTTTTACTTTTTTATATTGCTTTGACAACAATTTAAAGTGAAACTGTTGTCGTCTTCATTTGATCTGCTAGGTAAAGAATTTCCGCTTTATTTTGGTAATTACTGTGTCTCAATGCAATTATTTTCTTATGCGGCCCATTTAATAAAATGTATAAAACGTTAAGCTATCTAGCTAACTATCACGAGGAGCGTATATAATGGAAAAATAATTATTAAAGGACCGTGATGTTATTATAAAGGTTACATGTTCGATTCACAACGGTACCACCAACAACTCACAACGGTACCACCAACAACATTGTTAGGAAAAAAATAAATCATATTCAATTATGGATTCTCTATGAAAGCGGATTTATACGACAAAAAATGTAGGAAAAGGATTGAATTGATCTCCCAAAATTGAATAAACCCTTTCTACGTGTTACTTAGTTTCAAAGGGTGCCGTTGTGAATCTAGAGCACGTGACCCTGTTAATATATTACGTGAACAGTCTTTTTAAAAACTGACCTGCAAGCCTGGCATTGATTTCTCCTGGTAACATCAACTACACAGTTCCCAGCCTCTTTACAAACATAATCCAGATTCCTGACAAATATAATCCAGATTCTTTACAAATATAAATCTATATTCCTGACAAATATAAATCCAGATCCCTGACAAATATAATCCAGATTCTTGCAAATATAAATCCAGATTCCTGACAAATATAAATCCAGATTCCTGACAAATATAAATCTATATTCCTGACAAATATAAATCCAGATTCCTGACAAATATAATTCAGATTCTTTACAAATATAAATCCAGATTCCTGACAAATATAAATCCGGATTCCTGACAAATATAAATCCAGATTCCTGACAAATATAAATCCAATATTCGAGAACCAGTTAGCCTTGGGTTAATGGAGAGGGTACCCTGAACGATTTAGCCTGAGCCCTTTAGAAAGCAAAGTGCGGCAAAGAATACAATTTGATGTCAGTCCCGGGGTGCAAAAATCTGGACTTTTCTTGGTAAGATTCGAGGACCAGATAGGCAGGCATTCCTGTTCCAAAATGTGCTTGCCAGCCGGATTGCTTCACGTACGAGGGTGCTAAAGCGTCGGGAAAGACGTCCGTCGCAGGGTGCAATTTAAACTAAGGTGTTAAGGTGCGTGGAAAAGAAAATGGTATGACACTGATTTTTAATATCTTTTTAATTTGCGCTGATTTTTGACAGCCTTCATGTTGACTTATTTCCAACTAGTGAAGGCAGGGAACTGATCAATAGATGGAACTAGTTAAGGTATGGAACTATAAGTCAAGGGATGGAACTAGTTAAGAGATGGGACTAGTCAAGGGATGGAACTGTAAGTCAAGGGATGGAACTATAATAACTCAAGGGATGGAACTAGTCAAGGGATGGAACTAGTCAAGGGATGGAACTAGTCAAGGGATGGAACTAGTCAAGGAATGGAACTAGTCAAGGAATTGAACTAGTCAAAGGATGGAACTAGTTAAGGGATGGAACTAGTCAAGGGATGGAACTAGTCAAGGGATGGAACTAGTCAAGGGATGGAACTAGTCAAGAGATGGAACTAGTCAAGGGATGGAAATAGTCAAGGGATAGAACTAGTCAAGGGATGGAACTAGTCAAGAGATGGAACTAGTCAAGGGATGGAACTAGTCAAGGAATGGAAATAGTCAATGGATGGAACTGGTCAAGAGGTTGAACTATGATTAAGGGGTGGAACTAGTAAAAAAAATGTTGTCTTACATTGCGGCAAGTCGTCTTATGCTTCTCTTGAAAAATCCGCGGCATCCATCGCACGAAGAAACACCGTAGTGTTTCCCGCTCGCCTTGTCGCCACAAACCTGTAAGGAAAAAAATAATTTAAAGGGACTGTCGTTGTATTTTCAAGTGACTCTCCTTTAAAAGTTGGTTATGTATGCACCATAACTACTCCCTTTAAACCTTTAGCTGATTAAGAATGTAAAAATATCGTTTAGATGTGTTACAACTGAACTCCTTTACTCTTAAAATAGAGAAACCTCAATTAAAGAAAATAATTTTTTAAGTTCAAAACACGGTTATCTCATTCATTCTTGATAATAGACAGGTTTCAAGTCCGGGTACCGCGCTATGGGAATAGGATATGCCACTCTGGAAATGAGGGCGTTCAAGTTCTTTTTTAATTGACAACTTTGTTGAAATACAGAAATCAGCGTTTTTAATTAATATTAAAACATATTTGAACTGAGTTAGCGTGATCATTTCAATTTCTATTTAAGACATTTTTAACAAATGTATTAAACTAAATTTTTGTTTTTTTAAGGCATTCCGTTTTTGTTGTTCAAATAAATATTTAAAGGGACTGACAGCGTAAATTGAATTCAGCCTCGAAGGCAAAGATAGCAATGTCCGATTGTACCCTTAAAACTTTAATATGATACAAAATATGGAAGCTATAATGTAAATTTTCTGTGAGTTTCTCCATTCTTTCTTCAAAGCAAGGAATGCAAAGGCGCCGCAAATGGAAATAAATTGTTCAAATTAACAAATCTAATAAATAATTGATCATACAAAGCTTTGAAGGGTACCGTTGTAAATCGAGCATTGCCATCTTTGCTTGGATTGTAACTTGAAATTACGCTTATAGTCCCTTTAAGTAAGAGATTATTAAAGAAGGGTTTAGTTTTTATTTGGTCTAGTGTTGCATTTTATTTTATAATTTAATGAAAAAATAAACAACTTTTTCATTAAAAATTAAAATTTAAACGTTTTACTGATTATTCTCTTTCATTGGAGCTTTAGATTTAATGCTGAGCCATAGTCTATTTTTTATTCATTACCAGCTAAAGCTAATTCTTATTTGACAAATAGCACAACCAATTTTTATTTGGAAGATATGAGATAAAAAAGCAAAATTTTTGCATCAAAAGAAAACCTTGGCAACAATTTTTCGAAACAAAGATAAAAAAATGCTAGTTCTGTTTTCCTTCATAATTTTGATCTTTTAGCGACAAAACAAAACAACAAAACATTATTCATTTAAATATTCACTAACTTGTAATCGACTTAAACGGACAGACCGGCTATGTGAGCTATGTAAGGTAGTAGATCTGAGTACGCAGTGTTGTGGACAAATCTTTAGGATTCACTTAAACGGACAGACCGGCTATGTGAGCTATGTAAGGTAGTAGATCTGAGTATGCAGTGTTGTGGACAAATCTTTAGGATTCACTTGAGACAAATAAAACTTTTTAAAGATCTGTAAAAGCCGACGTTCAAAATAGTACTTAATTTTGGGTGGATGCGTGCTGAGCATTGATTTTTTAAAAATTATTAAATAACGGCGACAAAAATGTAAACAAAATTCTTCAGTAAACTAAAAATTAGTTGTTTAGGAACAGGTTGAGAAAATAAAAATTAATCTTATCATCGAAAATAAATAATCTTGTTCGATTATTAGTTTCTATTTTATCATTATACTAGTTTCTCCTTATTCACAAAGAATTTCTGCAGATTTTCTGGAATTATTATTGAAAAAACGGCATTTGAAGATTTGTAGAAATCTGCGAACAAATAAAAAAAAAAAAAAATTCAACATAAAGATGAAAACAAAATAATTGATTCTAGCATTGATTTATTGACAAATTTCTTTTGAGAAATATGTTCCTAACCATCGAATTAGTTTACTGCATAATTTTTACTTTATTTTTCATCTTCGATATTTAATAATTTAAAAAAAACCGATTCTGAAAACGTATGTACCCAAATTCATAATTTTGAACGTAAACTTTGCACTCAAACTCAGTAATTATACATCGTGGAAAAGTTTTATATGTCTCAAATGAACCCTAAAGAATTTGTCCACAACACTGCATAGTGCATAATCAGTCTAACTACCTTACATAGCCGGTATGTCCCTTTAAAAGATGATATATTTATTGAAATCCGAGTATTTTTGGCTACACTTAAAAACAGTATATAACAATTCTTTTTAAATGAGCATTTTGAAAAGTACAAATTAAACTCTGAAAAAAAAGATGCAAAAATGATGTTAAACTTTAGAACAAATTTCTAAATTAGAAAAATTATGGCTATTTTCTTGCACTTTTAAGTTGCAGTTCGGCAATTTGTTTTTTAAATAACGCAGATTTTTCTACCTTGGTTCTACAAATAAAGTTAAATCTACTATTGTATATAGTATTTCACTGTTAATTTAAAATTCACTGTAATAAAAAAAACTTAATAATTTTCTGTTTAAAGTTTAAAAGGAGAAAATTCTGATTTTACTTTTACGATTTTCGGTTGTACATTTCTTTCTAACGGATATTTATTGAAATAAAACTAAAAAATGTCTGATACACTTGTTAGATCTTAAAAATAATTTTACTGATTAATGTATGAATATTTGTGATATTTTTGTTAATAAAAGAATATAAGAGAGGTTAGAAATCAACAAAAGTTTTTCACTCAATTTCAAAATAACAGTGTGTGTGTACAATAACAATGATACAGGGATATCTACAGAGGAATTGTCGATTGAAACTTTTAAAATACGAATATCGGAAGTTGTAATTAATTATACATTCAGTCTTAAAGTTGGTTATTTAGTGAGAAAAAAAACAGACCAAGAAACTAAACACTCGCTCTGCAAATTCTAATTTTATATTTCTTAAATCTTTGCACCCTGATGTCGTAACTTTGATATTCTGAACTTTGAATTCCACCAGATATATGTTTGGGTCTTTTAAAGATTCCTAAGAAACAGTGATAAAATTTAAAAGACTGCGTAAATTTCGTACAGTCTTCTTTGCAGTCTAAGCCTTTATGGGTAATCCTGTATATGAATTCATAATTTGTGGTAAATTGTCCTAATTTTCACCATTTTGAGATTTTCTTGTTAAATCGAATTACTGAAAATAGAATTTTTAACCAATACAGTTTCTTTTAGTGGATTTGTCACGTTTATTTTTACGATTAAAACTTTAAAACCAAAATACCTTGCAAAGAGTTTCCATTTTCTTATCAAAATTCATCATTATGATTTTCGAATCTTGTTTTTTTTTCAAGAAATGATGTACATTCTTCGAGGATAAAACTGACAATGAAGTCCTAAGGGAGTAGTTTAATGAAGCCGCCAAATACTGGTTTTAGGCTGGTTAAGACCAAGATCCAAGACCAGCCAATCAGTGAAGGATGACGTCAGAGACCAGCCAATCAGAGGCCAGAGCGTCAGAGACCAGCCAGTCGGAGGCCGGAGCGTCATGATCCGGCCTCTGTCCTCTGCCCGGACACAACCCTTGACCGTGCTGCGAGAAAGGGCAGCCTCGTGCAGTATAGAACAATAAATGGCGGCATTTCGTGGATTTTTCTCATCCTGGCTTTTCATTGGTTGAAGACAGTTCTAACAGCTTTCTCATTGGTTCCAATCTAGACAGTCTATTGATATTTTTTGTTTTTGTTTTTTATATTTTCTTTAGACAGTTTAGTCATTGTTATGATCATTTAATGGTTATCAATGAAAAGTTGAACAACAAGTCAGTATTAATTTATCAACAAATCGAAAATTGTGATATTAAAGAAAATTAAGGTTTTTGTCCATCTTGGTTCACATATGCCTTTAATAATTTTAACTTCATGTTTTAGGTAAAAAACTTTAGCGTTTAGATGATGAACTCCATTGTTAATAGAATAAACTCCATGGTTTATAGAATAAACTCCATGGTTTATAGAATAAACTTCATGGTTTATAGAATAAACTCCATGATTTATAGAATAAACTCCATGATTAATAGAAGAAACTCCATGATTTATAGAATAAACTCCATGATTTATAGAATAAACTCCATGGTTTATAGAATAAACTCCATGCTTTTTAGAATAAACTCCATGGTTTTTAGAATAAACTCTATGGTTTATAGAATAAACTCCATGGTTTAAATAATAAACTCCAAGGTTCAAAAGAACAATTATAAAATATCATGTTTTAGATGATAAACCTCATGGTTTAGATGAAATCCATGGATTAGATAATAAACGCCGTGCTTTAGATGATATTCATCGATAATATGATAATATCCTTGGCTCAGATGATAGTTTAGATGATAAACTCCATTCTTGTAAACAATATACTTATGGTTTAAATGATAATCATGCATTGGACAACAAACTCCATGGCTTAGATGATAAACTCCATTGTGTAGAATAGATAATAAACTCCATGGCTTGGATGGAAAATCTATTGTCTCAACGGTCTAAATAATAAACTCAATGGTATATATGGTGATATGTAGTAAATGCCTTACTTTCAAAACTTCGTCCAGAACTGTATCAAGCCAGACACAACTCGTCAGATATAAACGTCAATCAGGACACAAACTCTTAAGCAATCAATGCCAAACCAATGGACATGATCTTTTTGGCTCTGAATGTCACACAGGGAGACAAACGAGACAATCTCATCGTATCTGAAAGTCAATACTGACACAAGCGTAGGTATAGAACAACCTCTTTACCGATCAATGCCAAACAAATAGGCATCTGGCTCTGAATATCACACAGCGACACAAGTGTAGCTTTCAAACAAGCTCTTAAATGATCAATGTCAAACCAATGGACATGATCTATTCGGCTCTGAATATCACACAGGGACACAAGCAAAGCTATCAAGCAAGCTCTTAAACAATCAATGCTAAACTAATGGGCATGATTTACTTGGCTCTGAATGTCGCACAGGGACACAAACATAGCCATCGAACAATTGATCAATGCCAAATACCTAGGCACGTTCTCAGCTTGTATGTTTTAACGAAAACCAAATTACTCCCAACACTAATCAAAGCAGAGTCTCTATATCAACTAAGATAGTTTAGATATCTTAGGTTACAAGTTAACGGTAATTAACATAATTACAAGTTTTATGTTGATGTATATTTATACAGCCTAGTTTAAGTTTAATGTACATAATTTATAAGATTATCCAGGATAGATTTAACGTGGTTAAGTTATCTCCACACATGTTTACAGTGTAGTTTAAGTTTAATGTACTTATTTAGAAGATTAGCATGGATAGATGTAAACATAGTTAAACTAATCACAATGCATGTTAATGATAAGCACATTTAGATTTACAGACAATGTAAAACGTAATATATTTAGGTATGTTCAGGTTAACAAATATGGGGATTGCTGTATTTATTACAGTTAAACTCAATTGTGAAGATGATAAAATAACTTGTCCTACCCATATAACCTGTTCTTTTGCATAAATTTGTCCTATCTATACATATATCTATATAACCTGTAGTAGTATAAAATTATATAATAATATAAACTTGTCCTATCTATGTATCATGTAGTATTATATAAACTTGTCCTGTCTATGTATCCTGTAGTATTATATAAACTTGTCCTATCTATGTATCCTGTAGTATTATATAAACTTGTCCTANCGTTTACCCCTCTCTCTCCTCCTCGTTTACTCCGATTCACAGCGGTATCCTTGAAACATTGAAATATTAAACTAATTAAAAATGATGAAGATAAAGTCGATTTCTAGATTAATATATTAAATCTGTTTATTTCTCCGTTGCGTCTAAAGTCAGAAATGGATTTGTCAGAAAGTACCGAGCCCCACCAATACATCGAATAAAAGAAAAAAATTGAATAAAGAAAAACTCATTACTGACGATTTAAAAAAAAAAGATAAGGAAATATCGATTTTTCAATTTTTTCAAAACTTGTTGATATATATGGGTATGAAAAGATACGCCTTGAACCACCTTGTTCGTTTTTCAATAGTTCGGGCTAAACCAGAAACCAGTTTTTTAATTTTCTAAACTCAGTGTTTGAAGACAAATATTTTGATACATATCATAATAATTCATTATTTTTACGACATTTATTTACCTGCCTACATTGAATATAGTGGTTTATGTTCCACAAAAAGCAAATATCTGAATGAGTTTGAAAATTATATAAAAGAAATTCTTAAAAGAAAACTTTAGAACTGGTGCAAGGCATGGATTTGGAATATTTTACCAAAAAAGTGACGTACATAGTTTCACTCTTAGATAAGTTTTATGCTAAAACCCAAAATGTTTTTTTTCGCAGAAAGAAATTGATATTTTGTGAACAAATTCTGAAGTGAATTTCAAATCTTTTAATATTAGATTCAAGCATTACTTTAATTCTGAATGAAATTATATAAATCCTCTAATTTTCAAATAAAATACACGACTCCATCATGTGATTATATTCATGCATTTGTTTCAATCTAACCAATTAAAATTCAGATAAAGGAGTTGAGTCTTTGTCACAAACTCTGATCGTCTAATACCTATATCTTTGAAACCAATTTTCAGAGACTTTGTAAAAATAATAAACCCCATGTTAAGGTGAAGTGAACAGAAACATGTGATAGAACAACAACAACAAGTATTAATGTTTCAGAGAGATTATGCAAGGATAATCGGCATAAGTTTTGGATATTCTTCTAACCTTAAAGGTCAAAAATAACTTTTATAAACATTGATAAAATAGAGTAAATTTGAGCATTAAAACTTGAGCATTGTCCGAAAAAGGCAAAAATTAAACATTTTAAAAACTGCGCAGGTTAAAGTGATAATGAGGACTGATCGGTATTTAAACAAGAAGGAAAAAACTTATAATTCCAGATGAGCGCATATGAAAAATTGGCTTTAAAAATGGCAGGCTGGTCATTCTGCAGATAAAATATCAAGAAAAGGTGGGATATTTTCACAGACTTAACATATTTCAAAGAATTAGTTCTATTAGATTAAACAATCTAAGGTTGAAATATCAAAGGTTTACATCATTAGATTGCGAAGTTATTAGGATTAGACAATTTGCGTTTGTGGCAAAGACTCAATTCCTTTGTTTAATGATTCAATGCAAGAGGCGTAAACAGAGGGGGTAAGGGCTATTGGGATTGCCCCCCCCCCCGGCCCCCCTCTGTATGAGTAAAATATACAGTTCAACTTCTTGAGGGTTTTCAGGCTTAAATAGGTGCTGTGCCCCCCCCCCCTCCAAAAAGAAACAAATTCCCATGTACGCCTCTGAATATCAATGTGACAATTTATCGGAAAGTCCTTGGGCTCTATTTTTAGCATCTATAAGCTGAATAAAGCGAATAAACAAAGTTGCAAAAATACAATCAATTACAAAATTTTAAAAATTATATTTGTAACATGTTAAAATCCAATACAGGGTTACCCACACAGAATGATACTGTAAAAACTACCTATAATATTCATACAATATGACGATCCCAAGATTAGATTATTTGTCTTCTGCATTGAACTTGAATATAGTCATTTTATGGCATGGGTCAAAAAAAAAGTTTACAGTTGCAGGGAATCATTCACTGCAAACTAAGATGTTCACGGTCTCACACAAAAATCAATCAGTATTATGCCAATTACTTCTTTTAAGCTTAAGCTAGAAACAAGTACTTTGCATTTTTAAAATGCATATGTCTCGTGCTACAAAAAGGTATCAGTGAGTTAGTGAGGTAAAACCAAAGGCCAAGGCGTTGTGACACTTTATAAAGTGGAAGCTGTCTAAAAATTTGATGACTAACTTTCAGAGTTGTCAAGATTTCAGTGCATTAATAAGAAGAAATAGACTGACAGAAAATTCCGTGCAGTCGTCTCCGGTGTATCAATCCTTGGCGGTTAACCCTGTAATCATAATTATTAATTACAATAATATACATAATATATACAGATATTACATGAATACAGAAAGACCAACATACAGAGCGTAACATATCATATTGGATTATCTCCAAGCTTTTACGCCAAAATACACAAATATTACTCGAAAAGTCGTGTATTTTCTGCAAGAAATTTTTTATTTTAGCCTTAATTTAGACCCTGAAATTTCTATTCTGAGCTGTAAACGATCTTATACGATGTGGGACACCCTGTATGTAAACGACCTGATATGATGTGGGACACCCTGTATGTAAACGATCTGATATGATGTGGGACACCCTGTATATAAACGATATAATATGATGTGGGACACCCTGCATGTAAAAACGACTTCCAACGCCAATCTGAAAAGTCCTCTTGGTTCAGGAATGTGCAAAACCTCAAATTTTGTCATCTACATTTTGAATATTTATTTGTCATCTTTCAGAGAGTGTTAATCCGAAAAAAAATTTGAAACACTAAATATGGTATGTGAGGGAGGGGTGCAGGGCCGCCATGAGCCCCACAAAATTGTCTCTAAGCCTCCGTATTCGCAGATGAGTATTTAAAATGACCTGGCATTACTCCCAAACTTTAAAATAGATATTATAGAAGTAATCAATAAAATTTTTAAAGAAAATATTAAATTTTTTAATAGTTGTGCAGTGTTTCTTGAATATCCAAAATACATTGCATAAGTATTAAAATATTAAATATTTTTTTCAAAATTTGTTATATATTAATTCGAAACTCTGATAAGCTGACCATAGATGAACTTTAGTTTGGTTTTCAGAAGCTAGCCAGTACTACAATGTGCAGCTGGGGGGTCAACTCTGTAGTGGATTATAACAACAGAGCTGGTAGAGCAGTTTATGCTTGTGCGATAGATCTGAGTAAGGCATTTGATCTTGTGTCATGGGAAGTGCTCTTCTCAGAGTTATTGGAGAGAGGTGTTTCACCTCTAGCATTAAGGTGTTTAATGTTCATTTACTCAAATCAAAAATGTAATGCTAGATGGGGTAATGCGTTCTCAAATACCTTCAATGTACAAAATGGAGTCAGACAAGGACCAGTTTCTTCCCCTGTGCTATTCTGTATTTACATTGACAAAGTTATCAAGTTATTACGATGTTCAACTATTGGATTCCAAATCTAGGGTGTCTATATGGGCATTTGGATATATGCAGATGATATTATTCTGCTTTCTCCTAGCAGAACAGGTCTTCAGGAAATGGTGAAAATTTTGCCAAAGCTACTAAACTGAAATTTAGTACAAATATTAGAATCGAAAAATGTAAAACTAAATGCCTTATTTTTTCTAAAAAAGGATTAATTGTAATGAAATAACCCCAATTTTATTGAATGAATTACCATATGGTATTTTCCCTAGGTCCAGCTCTTAATAAATCTGTATTTAGATAGTTTCTGTGGTATAAAGTTAGGGGAAATCATAAAGAGGTAATTAAGGTATACAGAATGCACAAGGGGGGGGGGAGTACAGATGGACGCGTTTAGCTTTTTTTTATTCATTTTGTTCGTTCATCGTTTGTGAACGACCCATTTCGTTCTCAAATATAACGTTGATTTTCCGTCTATATCGTTAATTTTTTTCAAAAGTTTGTGGGAAAAATCATTTGTTCAGTGAAACACCTATAGTTTTTTGAAAAGTTTGTTAAAACTCGTTCAAATTGAGTAAAAACGATATTTCTTGTCAAAATATTTTGGAAAATTTGTTTGTTCAGTAAAAAACTATAGTTTTTTTTCAAGTTCGTTTATATGCTTTTTTTCCATTTGTTTTTAAAAAAAGTTATAAACTTGTCCTGT